CTTTCTCGTGCTTTTACTTCCTGGGACAGATGTAAGCACTTTGTAACTGCCTCGAGGGTGCTTGACCATTGTAACACAACGTGGTGCGATCATCCCCCTTGCGCGGAGTGAGGGTTCTCGACCCCGCACAACATGATCTACTCGACCACCATAATGGTTACCGCCAAAAAAAACGGAGGTAAAAAAAAAATGGTAACCTGGTTGCCGAGTTCACGAAGTGAAATGGCTTGTTTTACAACGTCGCTGCCAAGCGACGAAAACCCAATCCCAATGGCAAACACCGGGGGGAGCGGCGTGTTTTACAACGTCGTTGCCAAGCGACGAAAACCCAACCCCGATGGCAAACACCGGGGGGGGTGTACTCATAGTCGTGCATGCCGTAGTCGTTAGACCATTGACCTCGCATCCCTACAAAGCCGGGACGGAGCACGCCGGGTTCTCACCGGACCAGGCTCTCACATCACCAAGCGCGAAGCGCCGTGAGATATTCGGCGAGTCGCATGAAGGGTGCGCTGTATCCTGCTAAGGGTGTTCGGCATCTTGTGCTTACTTCCTTGCATACGGATGACAGCTGCGTATGACTTAATTTATTTTCTGGTGCTTTCCGTTCCAGAGACACTTGTTAGCACTTTGCAACTGCCTCGAGGGTGCTTGACCATTGTAACACAACGTGGTGCGATCATCCCCTTTGCCCGGAGTGAGGGTTCTCGACCCCGCACAACACGATCTACTCGACCACCGTTATGGTTACCGCCAAAAAAAAAACAGAGGTAAAAAAAACGGTAACCTGGTTGCCGAGTTCACGAAGTGAATTGGCTTGTTTTACAACGTCGCTGCCAAGCGACGAAAACCCAATCCCAATGGCAAACACCGAGGGGGGTGGCTTGAAAAAAAAACGGTAACCTGGTTGCCGAATTCACGAAGTGAATTGGCTTGTTTTACAACGTCGCTGCCAAGCGACGAAAACCCAATCCCAATGGCAAACACCGAGGGGGGTGGCTTGAAAAAAAAACGGTAACCTGGTTGCCGAATTCACGAAGTGAATTGGCTTGTTTTACAACGTCGCTGCCAAGCGACGAAAACCCAATCCCAATGGCAAACACCGAGGGGGGTGGCTTGAAAAAAAAACGGTAACCTGGTTGCCGAATTCACGAAGTGAATTGGCTTGTTTTACAACGCCGTTGCCAAGCGATCAAAACCCAATCCTGATGGCAAACACCGGGGGGGGCGACTTGGTTTACAACGTCGTTGCCAAGCGACCAAAACCCAACCCCGATGGCAAACACCGGGGGGGGCGACTTGGTTTACAACGTCGTTGCCAAGCGACCAAAACCCAACCCCGATGGCAAACACCGGGGGGGGCGACTTGGTTTACAACGTCGTTGCCAAGCGACCAAAACCCAACCCCGATGGCAAACACCGGGGGGGGGGATTGAGGTTGGGTGAAGTATAATCTCCGGAGTATGAATATGAAGCATTTTTTTTTCGGTGTGAAGGATGCCCGCTAGAAGGAAGGGTGAACAAAATCAGCCTGGGGCAGAGCCACCCTACAGAGTGCGTGCGACTTGTACTACTCCAGCCGCCCACGCTGGTGCACTCAAAGCCATCGATCGCCGCGCCCATGCCACCGCCGCGACGATGTTTTCCGGAAACCTGCGGGCAGCCCAAGTGGAGCAGCAGCCGCTGCCGGAGAAGGCGGTGGAGGTGATCCCCTCGGTGTGCCTCACACAGTCGTGCAATGTCAAAGTTTTCCACAACGGCGAGCACGAGGGGGGAAAAAGCTTCACGGTGTCCCCGGCGGATGTGGAGGGCCTGGAAGACCTCGGGGAGTGGCTAGGGCCCAAGATGGAGTGCGTTAGCCAGGGGATGAGGTGAGGCGCACGGGGGGGGGGGGGGG